AAATGGAGTTCACATAAAATATTCTGATGCTGTCGTGTCTCTAATGCTATTGACCTGTTGGCAAGCTTCACCTCCTGGTGCTAACACCACAATGAAAACCTCATGAGGTCATGGTAAATTTGTCCCAAAGAAAAGATGTCCATGAGCAGTGCTGATCGCGGTGAGGCCCGTGACTATTGTTACCATCTGCTCACTATTTCCTCCTGAAAAGATGATAATTGAATCTGAAATCACTTCTCTCCCTTGGTTTAAGAGTGAGGGTAGTGTCCTTCACTTAAGTCCCCGCCACAATAGTTTTGAGCCCTTGTTTGTATTCTCCAAAGAGCCATTTCACCCTGCTCGTCTCTTCAACAACATCTGCTTCTAACCCTCCGGATCAATCGAGACCATCTAATCACCTGCCACACTTAATTACAACCCCATCGCTGCCTTTACGAGAAGCATCAAAGGGCACCGTGCCCAAAGGGGGGTCATGCAGATACGACTTCCATGGTGTGCCTTTGCACAATAGAGGATGCTAAAAATCTTTAAGCCAGTTTGGTGAAAATAGGTCAGTGTTGGCAGCTGTGGGTAATGTGTCCGAGGCCCGGCCTGCGGTCCAGCATGCTGCTCCCCCGATTCAACACTCTTTGTGCCATCCTCTCGGCACTAATCTGTCTTTTCACCGAGTGTTGTAATTAATTTGCAGTGATTTCTATGAGGGCACAGGCATCGTTAGGAGCCTCAAAGGGGCTACAAAATGGACAAGTTGCCAAAAGTCGGCCTTTGTCCTTGATCTGCCCCTTTCTAAATACCCATGACAGCAGCTTTGAAATGCCTGCCTGATGAGGCTCAGATGCCGTGGCCATCACAGTGACCATACCATGTCTGGCTGTGAAAAACATCTGACGACAAAGAAGAGCCCACCGCAGCAAACAACACCACGGTTCCCAAACTACCCGAGCCATCGTGCGGCCTGCGTTGCTCGGTGATGAATCATGATACAGTAATCCTGGTTGGCTATTAAATTACAGATCTAACCGAATCATACTTCACTCACTATCTCAAAGCTTTCTCAGCAGTGCAAGTCCCGAAGGAGAACTCCAGCGAAAAGAGATAACCGCATCACTCCAGAGTGCTTGGCAATCCGCACAAAACTGTGTTGCCATGGGAAAAGTGTAGACACAACTGTTTAGTTGAGGCTTCCCAGTGGTGCTGATAATGCCATTAATTGTGTGAAGGCGGAGTTGGAGAAAGCGCGACCCACGACTTGTAAAGCATGTTTGTGCGAGCTCGCTGCTGTGCTGTATGAGGTCAGAGCTTCTCTGGCTCATATCTTCTCTTTTATTCTTTCTTCCTCTTTATCTTTCTTTGTTTAATCTTTTGCTGTCCGTGTATCGCTCTCTCTTTTCCCCTCGGTCGCAAGAGTCATAAAACAAGAAGGGGAGAAATAATACAAACATTTCTGAGGTCGGCAGGAATCTGGGACCTCTTTTCTCTGTCGGCTCACTCTCACTCTATAAAAAAGATAAACCGGTACGCTTTAAAGAGAGAAACGGAAGAATCTGAAAAAGAGAGGAAAAAAAATAAAAGCGAGAGGAGGCCAGTGGTGGGTGGGTGTGGTGGGAGAGTTCCTCTCATCAAACTAAACTTCCATCTCCCTCAAAGACAGACTCAGATTCCTGCAAGCCAATCAGCCAATCTAAGACAAATGATTTTGTAGAGCTTTCCTGCCACACTGGGCGTGGGAACGGCACAGATTCTCATTTAAAAAAAAAAAAGAGCCTGTAAATTATTTCCCTCCTGCTTCAAAGACCTGAACAACAAAAAAACGTTTTTTGTGTTTATGTGCGGCGTTTCTGTGTTGTTGTCTTTGAGCCTGTTGGTCTCGGCTGGTTTCTGCTGTCAATGTGCGAGTGTAAACACTGTTTGAGATCTAAAGCTGTCCGCTCACGTGCGGCAATCTGAGAGAGACGAAATACAAAAGGATGCCATCTTTCATTCCCGTAGATAAATAAAACTCTCCAAGAGTCATTTAAAACCAGGGGGGTCCTGTTGCATTGCGCTTTTCTCGAGGCAGCGTGTTGATCAAAGCCGTTTGTGGGACCGCTTTCCTCTTCTTTTCCCCCAGGCGCCGCCCCCACCACCACCCCCCCCCTCTACAACCCCCACATCCCACACTTCCACCCCCCAAACCACGTCTGCCTTGCTGCTGCTAATCATTGGTGGTCTCCTGACTGCCAACAGTAATTGATTAGGGAGCACAGGGCTGGCGGAGGGGAGGAAGGGGGATGGAGGGGAAAGTTCAACCCCCCGCCAAAACTTTTCTCATGCTATTAGGTATCAGCCGCTGCAGATAGACAGACGTTTGCTGGTGGCGTCCACAAACATCTTTTCGTCCAAAACGAATGCATCTGTCTCAGTGAAACTGTCTCGGTTGTGAAAAGGCTCATTTTGTGATCGATCTGTCCGATTGTGGGGTCAAAGCTTATTTTTCTGCGCCACCCTCCCTTTGCTGCTTTAAGAATGTTAATGTGTTGTTTGGTCCTCAGCGGTTGCTCAACATCCTCCACGATACAAAGTGGGTTGTGGAGGTTATTCTGAAGCAATAACTACCACCATTCCTCCTGGTTTCACAGGAAGAGGTGACATTCCTCGCCTCTGGAAAGTGACTCATACCGCTCGTCTTGTTTAGTAAATACAATTACAGACTAGTTGAAACATTCTCCTCCTCCGTGAATTCGAGCGGAGAAAAAAGCCCTCTATTTTCTTTCTGCTTTTGAGTGCTTGAGTTCTCTGTATGGCCAAACAGGGTTATGTTCACCAGAGAGCCCGCCCCTGACTACGGACCCCGGGTCTCCACGCTTAAGGAAACTCAACAGTCACAGGAAATGTTCACCGTGTTTTACTCTGCTGCAACTGAGAAAGAGGTGAGAGGGTTTTTTTTGGATAGGAGCACCACCCGGAGCTGAAGGCTGGTGTTGATGTTGGCTCCGAGGCCGTTTGGGGGCTGCCCGGGATGGACCGCTGGTAGTGGGACCAGTTAGCACACACACACAGAGCATGCTCAGATACTCCCATGTCCGGACATGTGGTCACCCGTGTGCAATGAGGTCCGGTGATGTAACTTCACAAAGGCACAGAGAAAGTCAAACACACTCGAGGCTATGTCAAAGACAAATAATTGGAATGCTTTAAAATTGACAGTGTCCCTCAGAGAGTGGAGACTGGTGGGTTTCCATGTCTGCCACAGTCATCCCTCCCACAGATGCCCCCAGGCCGAAACAGCTTTGTCTGTCCGTCACGGAGGCTGTCTCTCAACATTTATCATAAGGAAATCATTGTTCGCCCATAAATCTACCAGTAAATAAAGGAGATGGAACAGTAATGCTACATATATATTTGTGTTCCCCCACTGCTTACGAATATTCAAACAACATGTAAAAAAGATTAGGACCAAACTTGATATTCTTGCAAATTCCAGATCCTGAGATCATGAAAGCCGGCCTCACTAGGCTGCGAATGAAAAGCACTTGTGTGGTTTAACTTTATCCAGACTTGTGAATACCAGAGGAGGTCGTTCTAAGAAGTGGTTGGTTCTGTTTTATGTCCTGTCAGTGTTGTGCATCTGCTCTTTACTGCCCCCCTTTGTTGGCCATGAAGTATTAACCAGGGTTATGCCACTGACCACTGAACTTTCAAATCCCACTTGATACACTTGATGAGCGAAGTACAATGATTTTGCAATGCGCACTTGTTCTTAACAGTGAAGGATTAAATCATTTTCTATAATGATCTACACCTCTAAGCTTTCCTTTGTCTGCCACCAATTGGGAGGCTGTGTTGTTGACGTCATACATCACCTATTTCTCCCAGTGAGAAACACAACGTGGATCTCTGACTGGCACGGGTACAAAAGCACTTTTTATTCCCTTACAAAGCGTCTTCAGAGCAGCACTCAGTCTGTCAAGAGTCATCTGCCGTCCTACTGAAATCCCCTCGAGGGGCTGTAATTTGTAAGTCTTTCTGAAACTTTACTACCTGAAAAGATGAGGATATCTAGAAGAGTAGAATTAACTATTTGTGCTTCCGTCTGCGGCCGGTGTACAGAAATGTATAATACTGCCGGCCAATAAGCTGTTTACCCCAATTTAAGATCAGTGAGTGTTTGAGGTCAGCTTTTATTTGCCAAAAAAACAGTCAGTGTAGTTAAAACTCCAATTAAGGCAACATTTGTGGTACATTTAAACATAAAGCTGAGTTTTCCATATGAATGAGGGTAATATATGGCCATGACGGAACAAATATATGTAGAGTAACACAACAAGATTGGATTTTACACACTGTAGGCAGGTAACCATCAGCCTACTGGCAAGAACTATTACCCCCTCAGGATGGAGGAAGCAAGAGACATTAGCAATTTTATCTCACTCCAACCAGGGACTGCAGGTATGGAGAGGTGGAGTAATTATTCCCATCACTCCACTCTCACTTTATGGGTATTATAAAAATACACAGATATCATCTTTTCACCCGAGCCCTCAGTGTGGGTGGCGTGGCAAAAGGGTTCTAAGCCGATGCTGGATGACTCAACGCGTAGCAGAGAACAGGACCGGGCCTGTGGAACGGAGCAAATGTTATCGGATGCCATGCGGGTTGTGTGAGCCAAGCATCCGCCAGCCCATATTCTCACCGGTTTCCATACATGCAGTAAGCCCCCGACAGATGACCCACATAGAAATTGAACACCGACTTTTCATAAAATAATCCCGTGCCCCAACACATTCATAATAATGCATGAACAGCGTAATCACACAAATGCACCTACGTTACATATAGTTTATGTCAAGATATTATTTGGCAGGGTGTTTCTGTCTTGCTAGAGCCCTTTGAAACCAGGGCTGCATGCACAATGATACTGCTTTACATATCAAAGCCTGCTAATTGAGCCCAGCATTCATTTCAAGTGTTCACCTCATCCGGAGCGTCAACGGTTCTATTTATTTCACTCCTCTCCACAGCAATATATGCCGCAGATGACCGTTTGCGTCGTGTGAAGATACTGTGGCTTCTATCACAAGGCAGTATTATGTCTCGGAGGTGTGGATGGTGGTTTATCTTCTCCAGAGGTTTGTCTGGTGAAATTGCATGTGATGTTTAGCAGTAGAGCCATTTCGCTGTTCGGCAGCTGCCGCGATGGAAAGTGCAAACGCAGAGCAACAGCGACCTCGTTGGCGCCGGTGGAGGAGGAGGACTCTGCGGGTTTCCCGTAGGCTGCTCTGCTGCTCATGTTGGCGCGGTGAGGAGAGGGATCCTCTGCAGCAGCAGGAAAGGAAGATCAATGGGGGCTCTCGGCATCCACACTTGGATCAGCGGGGATCAGGTGAGAGGGAGGCTATCCAGATTACGGTAGAGGACCTGGGGATAGTTAACACCGGCTTCAGCCTGTGCGAGGAGGACACCCCGACCTCGGGCAACAGCACGGCCCGCTCAGCTAGCTCCGTGTCCGCCTGCCTGAGGGCTCTGAAAAAGAAACGACTGGGGCCTCTGTTTTCACTCCCTATGGACATGCAGGGAAAACTGGCCATCACTTCTACCAGTGGAGAAGGTGGTGATGAAGAGGACGACGACCCGCTGGTGTTTGAGAGTGGCACTGATGTCACGCCAGCTCCTGGAAGCCTCCTATCACCGCCCGTCATTAATCTGATCCCACCCACTCCATCCGATGTCGTTGACGACGATCAGTTCTTTGACGTTAATTTGGAAGACATTGTGGCAAACGATGCTGTCAGCGGTGGAAGCTCTGGTGCTGGTGACCACGAGCGCTACGAGGAATCGATGAAGGGTGCCGAGGCAAAGGTGTCAACCGTGGAATTTCCACCGGCAGAGAGTAAGGTCAGTGCTGATGATTCAGCTGGGCTTGAAGAGGCCCCACGTGACGGGTCTGGAGAAGAAGAAGAGGCAGAGACAACCAAAGATGGGGACGAGGAGAAAACAAAGCCAAGGCTCTTACGTTGTGCGTACCAGGTGGCTCCTCTCCCTAAGTACACTCAGAAAAGTGAGTGTAATAGTGACAACATCTCCAGTGCTGTTTTCGAAAGTCCACAAATGAACGGTTTGCTTCATAAACAAGAGATTGGTTTAACTTTTATCAAAATAGGAACATTCCTTTATTCCTTTTATACTAAATCTAATCTCTAATCTAATAATCTAATAATGACGCCTTGGCTGGTTTGGTGTCAAAGTACTCGTACATACTGGCTGACTGTCACACTGGTATGGCTTACTGGGACATACTCTTAATATCTGTACTTCTGACAATGACAAATCAAAATGTCTGCTTTGAAACCGGCCCGATTCTTGATGGACAACATACAAATAAAGTTGACAATGTTCTACTTATTTTAATCTTATCCTGACATAAAGCACCAAAATGCACCAAAATGTTTTTTTCCAAGGAAACCTTTTGTCACAAAGGTTGGTTTCTTTCTCCACCATAGGAAGCTTCAACGCTGGCATAAATCTTTTGTTATTTACTGAGCACGACTTGGGTGAGTTTTCTTCAAATAAATGAGCAAATTCAAATCCTTGATTCCATTCGGGCAAACAGAGTTAAATGACACCAGATAATGGTTTGCTCCATCCAGCTGCTTACGTCTTCGTTTTGATTTCAGTTCCCCATTCAGTTGAAATGGGAAATGGTCATTATGTGACATGGCTACAGTACCCCGTAAGCCTCCTATGGGAGTTGCAGAAGTTCCCCTTTGTCGGAAGCCCTTTTTAGCCATTGTGTGTGTATTCCCAGTGTGTGGTGAGTAGGCGGTTCTCAGGTTTTGGGTTCCTGTGACTCAGCGTGCACCCCTCCCTCACTCGGAGCTTAATTTCTTTTCAAACCAGAGGAGCACAATAATGCTAGAAACGATAAGCATCCCCTTTGCCTATCCATTACATAAATGTGCTGGAAAGTTCTGACTCTGAAGCTTCGCTTTGTCATTAAACCCTTTGCGTGTCTGCGTGGGACCGGTAGCCGAACATTGTCACGCTCCAGACCTTGATCGCTCGCCATGTTTGTGTGCGTATGCAAGGATGCGATGTTTCTGTCTGAACTAGCCAGTCAAGGGAGAGAGAACTCAATCATGCCTTGACTTGTTGTGGGTGAACCAGTTCAGACTGGGAATGACGTGCATCTCTCTGTTACTGGTACTTTCACCCTGTATGGCAACATCTGGCTGCGTCTCTAAGCCTGCCCAAATTGGCTTTTCCTTGGCGGCGCATGCTGCTTGAAGTCCGGACATGGCGGAGGTGGGCTGGGTCCACTGCTTCCCTTCATTAACATTCTCACACAACTGCATGTCGTGTCCCTTCTCCCACGCCGGGTGGAAAAAAAAGAGTCACAAAGCGAGACTTCTCAGGATCTGATAGACACACTGTAGCATCTGAGGTCAGCTGGAGGCGGGTCCTCCTACATGTCATCACCTCGAGCCAAGACCCATCGCCTTTTCTCACTTGAGGCCGTTATTTTGGAGACGGCGGTGTTTTGCATGGAGGCTGTGCCGAGTTCTCTTAGACTAGACACTAGGCAGTAGATTAGACATGATCCTCTACAGACAGTGACTCAAAGGCCAGCCAGGTGATGAAGAGAGTGCCAGCTCGCTGCCCCCCTCCTTGTACTCCACTGTCTCTCCCGGACCCAGACAAGACTCCACTGCTGACACACATAAAGCAATTACACTGTCTTATCTGATTCTGACTCCATCTAAACTCCCATCCATGTCAAACCAGCCTTTCAGAAACAAGCCCCTGAAATGAAAAACATGTGTTTGAGAAATTAGGCAGAATTCCTTTGCTGGATAGACTATTTGAAAAGACTACTGTTTTAAAAGGGCTAGTTAGGCTTCAATCCGTGACGATATCCAACTTAAAGTAGTTACAACGCAGAACTGCAAACATTCCAACATCTATCAGATCACACCGACGTGTTGCCTGAGAAGGTCCGGGCCTAGCTTGGATGCACTATTCTCAGTCTCATTTGTCTTGCTTGTTACGATAGCAGAAAAAAAAAGATATCTGCTTGCTGAGGGACATTTGGAACATTTCTGTGGGAAAGAACTCGGGTTGTTGGCAGAGAAGTATGTCGTCAACCAGACAAACATTAGTTTGTGTGGCGGGCAGCCAAGCAATCCCACGTTGCTGTGTCCAGAATCAGCATCCGCTAATAGACCTGGTGACCTGCGAGAAAAGACTGTGAGGGACTAAAACTCCAAAGAGACGGCCGTAAAAGAGCGAAATCAAGGACTTTATTGAAGACTTTGTCTACCGTACATTAAGTAACTAAGTTGGACTAACTGGCAACTATTGTTCATGTATTGACTTACTGTTGATATTACTATGCAGATGAACTGAGCAACACAGATGTGAACTGCTCCGACATGCCGAAAGCTGAACTCTGCCTGCTTCCTGCCAACATGGACACATTTACTCACCAAAGGGTATGACGACCATGCAATGGCCATTTTATCATACATACCCACACATGCTTTTATTCTCTGGAGGTTCATCTGAATTGATTAGCCGGGGGGCTCGATTAGCAGTTTGAAGTTGACTGAAACCTGTATTATGTGACAGAGGCTCATAACGCGCTCCTGCAGTCTTGAAGACACACCGACCAGGAGCGCCACTTTCCACGCTTTGACCCAGACCACAGACCACCAGGAAGATGAGAGGTCGCTCCAACAGCGCCGCATAACCGTTGGTGAGTCTGGAAATATTATATCATGGACAAACAAGATTGGTCTACATAACACAACCGATGTGTGCTTCAAAAAATAACACAAGTCTGTTTTTTCCCGCCTTTCATGCAGCATCATATATGCCTCAGTCTCAGGATCAGAATGGAAACTTCCCTGAGAAGGTACTGCAAACCATCAAAGCAGCGCCTTCAGGGTGGCATCAGCACGCAGCCCAGAGCTGCCACAATTAGAGAATATGCTCTCTGTTTATATTTCCCAGCTCTCGATCTGTCAAAGCAATGACTCTGCAAATAGTCCTACGATATTCATCTCCGTGTCCAGGATTTGCTAAGCAAGATTGCTCGTATCCTTAGTAATCCATGTGTTAGCTGAAACACAAAACGGAACGTCTTGTGTTTTGGTTTGAAGGGAAATTGCTTGTGTCCTGCATTTACTGTCTTAATGCATCGATTGTTTTATTTTCCCTTGTAACACATCAGGTAATATGAGTAAGTGTTAAGCATGTATCTTAAGCAGCCCCACCTCAAAGTAGAAGACCGCACTTAAGAAAGAAATTTGAAAACGGTTGGGATTAATTAAGTATTTTCGGTAATCTCTGATCTAATATTCATTCATATAAACATAACGATTAATCTCTGACACAAGGCAAAGCTCTCACCACAATGCATCTTATTACTCCACCGTCACTTTGTAAAGCCTTTACTGGCAACAGGGAACACTGAACTAAACAGAGAATCTGTGACTAAAGCAACCATTCTGCAGAACCATGTGTTTGGGTAAACACTTCTCTGCCCCTTCTAAAGATGTTTTAACAGTTAAAGACACAGAAATGGGTGTATTTCCTGTGATAGGTCGAGACAGGTATCCAGCACAGTCATATTCACCTTGAATGAGTCAGCCGATGATAAAGGAGTGGAACTTGGAGTTTAACCATGCTTTGTTTCAAAGTCTTGCCCGCTACGAAATACGTTTTCACATGCAGGAGTTTGAGTCAGAATCATCTCCGTGCGTCACGAGCCTCCCTCTTTGCTTATGCAAACCCCTGCTTATGTTTTGGATTGCCAAAATAAAAATAAGCACTTGGACTTTACATTATTTAACGCTGTCGCGACTCTAAACAAAACCTTAAAATAGTACGTCATTTTTTTGTTTATGGTATCTACTGTGCAGGGGTTCTGCTTCTAGTTTCCAGTTTGCTGCTGCAAGCAGCTGGAATGACCTCACGCCTTCATTCCCCGACCTTCAATAACTCATTACAAACGGTAGTCTCTGATCACAGTTTATATATTTTATATATTATGTGGGTTTTATTTCCGTATGAGATTCATGGAGATGTTTCCATGTGGAGTTTGCTTGTAACAACTTTCTTTCTGCTGCTGCCTTATTGGCCAGGTCGTCATCGTAAATGATAACGGGTTCTCATGTGACTTCTCTTGTTAAACAAAGGTTAAATAAATTGTAGCGTGGTGTCAATGAAAGTAGTTTTCACATGTCACTTGCTCGAATGTGAAAATAAGCAGCTATGTAACCCCTCTTTCTTCACAGGACGTCGACAGGCAAGTGGCCAAATGTCTTGGGGAACTGAGCACAGATGAAGTCTGCCGCTGGTTTACCAATATCGGACTGCAGAAATGTCTTCCTTTCATCCGAGGTAAGACAGTCTTCTCTTTCAACCCTTTGGTGACATATCAAAGGCGGACATTGCCAATTGGATTCATTTTATCGTGGTTAAAATCGAAAGCTGTTTTAAAGAATATCAATAACTTGAACGCAAATGGAGATATGTAGTTTATGCTTAGGTTGAATTATTATTTAGAAAATACTGTTACTAACTGTTTGTGTTCCAGATGTAAACCTGTGTGGAGCAGACGTAGCATCGGTGGATGTGAACACTCTGGACGTCCTGCACATCACCACCCTGGAGGAGAGGGAGAAGCTGCTGTCTGCCGTTTATAAGGAGCTGCACCCTTCCAGCCCAATCACCCAGAGACTCGACTCTCTGCTCGGTACATTTTATCATTACGACATGACTAACAAACATTCAACTGCACTGCTGGCAAATGAAACATTGACTGGTGCTTCATTTCTCTCCAGATTCGTTGGGCCCGAACAGTGTGGAGACATTCACCGCGACATTAGTGTCAATGAGCAAATCTAAGTCCTCTCCACATGTGAGCTGCCTGAGCATGAATCGGCGTTCCCTAAAGCGCAGGTACAGCCTCCTCCTCCTGTATACCACGAAAACAAACAAACAAATGATCTGGATTTTAACCCCATGGCCTTTTCCCCCTAAAGAAACACCAGCCAAACCCCCTTGGCACAGAGGAATTCTCAGCTGATCGAGATAGCAATTAATGGTGAGTAACTCTATTAAATACATGCAGTGGATTATTAGTAAAACACAGCATATAAGCAGATATACTAAATATTCAGTTATGGTCACACATACTCCACACCAGACTATACTTCCTTCTTATTGCTGTGTCATGTCGTGTTGCAGCATCAGAGCGGATAGTTCATCTCCGAACCCCAAAGGAAACAACGGTGGGGAAAATCATGGATTCATGCATCAAAATGTTGGGAATGACAGAAGACAGGAGCCTTTTCATACTGAGAGAAAAGCAAGGTGCAAAACTCACCATATGGTCTACATCTAGAAAAAAAAGAGACACGTGTGTTCAGCATGCATGTGCTTCGGTTTAAAGGTTCATCGGAAGACCTCCCCCCAGATCAGCTGATCGCCAGCCTACTGACATCGACATCAGAGGACAGGCAGTTGGAGCTGCACTTGTGTAAAACGGTAACACCGACAGCTCATGCATAAGCTACCATTGCTTTAGCTGATATACTAAATATAACAAAACACATTTCCGTATGCTTTTGCCTCAAAGGACGGGTCATCTGGAACCATAGCAAAACAAAATCCAGGAGTCCACAGCTCTAATGAGAATAACAACATCAACAAAAATGCCCTGGTGAACCGGCCAGCCAAAGAAGAGAGGATCAAAGAACTAAACCAGCAGGTGGAATCGCTCCAAAATGTCATCCTTCAGGTCAAAATGTCTCTTTAACTACACCTATGAAAGCATGTAACAGAAAACGTCATGAAACACTGCCACGACTGGTTGAATTTATTCATTTTGTGATGTTGAACTGATCGTTTGAACACAAAGGTCCAGGAGCTCCACCACGGCCTGGTGGCATTTTGCTCAGAGATAAAGAACATGGATGGAGACGTGGATGTGGACAGGCTTAGCTCCGCTGAGCTGAAGGAGAGGTCGCAGTTGGTTAAAAGCCGCCTGAATGACAAGAGGCGGAGCCTGCAGACCCTCAGAGACAACATTAACGACTCCACTGCTCACAAAAAGAAGTAGGTGGACTGAATCCGTTAATGAGCAGCTTGTTCAATGACGCATAATCTCTTTCTTCCACCTTCCGAAGACACAAAACAACAGATACAACGATAAGAGACTAGAAAAAGCACATTGATTTGAATTTAGTTTAAAATCAACCATATATTGAAAGGCATTTTGTTATGCTTATTTAACCTTAACTAAACTCGAAACATGTATGAATATATGTAGCTGAGCTTAACTTCAATTTTGTCTTTTTCCATTCAGACAGTTGGACGTACGTCTCTTGGAAAAGATGAAACTGAACTGCCAGGTGTTTAAGGAGGAAATTTCCATGGTACATCTCAATCGGCAGATGGCACACCTCCAAAATGCTTTGCAAGAAAGCTACGTTAAGGTACTGCAGAAAACCGCTGGACCATGGAATCGCTTTCCCCTCTGCAGACTTGAACCAACAAGCTGACGATCTGGAGCCTTGCCAATGCAACTTGAATCAATAGCCTATGAAACTCAGTGGCATCAATATGTGGGAAAGCTGTGTGATCACAGTCAAAGAATGCTTTGGTTGATAAAAATAAACAATACGAAACTGAGATTAGGAACTGAAATGACGCTAGCTATTGATAGTATGCATGGTATCATTTACTGAAATCAGCTTTTGCTGAGAAATTGGACCTCTCCATTTTTGGACAATAATGCCTTTGCCTATTTTCCCCTGTCTATAACCAAGAACTTGTGCAATATACTCGGTATAACTGCCCTTTTTCTAACCAATGACAGCCAGACTGTGTAGACCAGTGAGGGTGAATAAATCGCATATGAAGTCCATATATTTGTCATTTAGCAGCAGAATCGGCACAAACTAGGACAGGTGGCAACAGCTCCCTGATGAGGTAGGTCATCATTTGACACCATTATGTCCACGCTCTTTGATCTTCTCTCCACTGTTCTCCTGAGTGACAACACAATGCCCCGTTCAGTCCTCTCTGTTTCGTTAAGTTGTGCAGTTGAGAGTGGCTATACAAGGCTGAGGAATTTTCTTTGGATGAGCATGCACTTTTTCTGAGAAAATGATGTTTAGCGCTGACATCCGAGAGCCTGTGACCATACCAACAATGGAATGTGTGTGACAAAAGCCACTGGGAGAGTGCAATGGAGAACTGGGCCGGCATGTGTAAAACTATCTCCATCTATCCCCGGAGGAGCCTACTTCTTTTTTAATGTGGCTCTTTTATCCCGTTGGAGAAGCCCTAACGAGGTGCCATGAAAGGACACACGCGGCTTCGGCTTTGAAAGGTGCCCCGTGTCACGTTGCCGCCCCGGGGCCACGCTTTTTTAGGTGCTGAGTTTGTGGGAAAAGCAGCAGCGCTAATGTTTATCATATGACCTAATCAGAGTTAACACACAGGTCAGAGCCGAGGAGCAGCCTGGGAACTGATGGAGCTGCTACTCTAATAAGGAGCAGACCGCCCCGTGTTTGGTCTCGTAGGCTGCCCCGCATTACAGAAAATGAGGAAATATTTCATCATTGGCAGTCTAATCTACAGGATCTATTGCAACTGGAGAGCATCAATAAAGCAGCCAAGAGGGAAGATAAACAGAGGGCGAGAGTGAAGGGAGGAGGGGAAGGACAACAAATGACGGAAATGATTTTAAATAAGCGGTTTAGCTCGGACAATTCCAAAACCTCAGAATGAGTATTAAAGAGAGGAACATGAAAGAATTACTGTCATGTCCAAACTTTAGTATGAGTTGTCTGATAGGGGAGTTTGAGTACTGAGACAAATTGGCCAACTCTTTGTCATTTGCCCCTCTTTGCCCCTGAGTTTAAGAAATGGATTGCATGGCTCCGGTTCTTTGTGGTTGACCAATATGATCAGATCCTCTTCCGTTGCTCTAAACCAACGTTGATTGTGGTAAAGATCTCCGTTGTCAAAGCAGCCAGGGTGCCGGGAAGGACGGCACTGGATTTAGATTTGCCAACACGTGGATATAAATGAGATGCTATTCCTTTTGAACAAAAGTGCTTTTACAGCTTATGTTGTAGCTTCCTATGATCGAGGAAAATTACTTTATATATGAATCTTTTTTTACTCGTAGAGACAACATTTTTTCCTGGGCTGACCTTTGTGATCTGCGTGAGCCCTGTTTAATTGCCTACCAGCAGCAAATTGGTTGTGTCTTGTGTGTATATGTGCCCTGTGCCTGGCCAAGGTAGGTTAGGATTTGATCAAATCTTGTGGATAAACAAGAAGAATATGAAGAGAAAATTCCATGGCCTCTTGGCGTGTGTCCAACATTGAGGCACACTAAAAGGGAAAAAGATGCGTGTTAGAGTGTGCCTCTCAAGGGGATTCGGCTGTGTTTCCGTGGATATATCCTGTCTGGCCCACTTGTCTGAGGAGACCGAAGCCTTAGCTTTGACCCCTGACCCTGGCAAGGCGGCATCTATTGCTGCGAGGCATTCACATGCCGTTCAGGGGGAAGGGGGGAGTATGCCAAGAGGCTGGATAAGGGGACATTGGAATTCAGTGGTCAGACTCACAAGTTATTTCTGATCCCTCCAAGCTACTTGTGGTGGTGTGATCTCTTCCCAAGCTAATCATTGCATCTTGGTGGTCTTTTGGCTTTGATGTCGCCTCATTACTATCTTTCGAGGACCCCCATGTAGTAGCATCTGTAATATTTTCCCAGGAAGTAATGTTACAAATTCTTCTCATGGAAATTATAGTGTAATATTTAAGAGGCACAAAATCACGCTATGTCTCCAAGTGTTGAAGATTTGATGACTACTTTGGGTAGCGCTTAAGAAAACAAAATCAAGAGGTTGCAATCTCTCTTTTTCTTCCATTTAGAGTAACTTAAAGGACCAGTTCAACAATTTGAAAAATACACAGTTGTGTAGAGTTTGACGAAGGGTGAAAACACAAGGCATCAGCAAGCCCGTTCAAAAGCTAAACATGTGCCTACCTTCACCTTTAACGTAAACATGTTACATACTTTTTGGGCAATCCATACCAATTGAAAATGAGAAGTTGATGTTTTACAGAGGGCTTCATGTCAAGCACTCAGTAATGACAAGCCACAGCGCTCAGCCTAGAAAGAGCCCAACACACACGGTGATTCATCGTAAAATCACAACATCAACCTTTTACACGTTTTGTACTAAATGAACAAAAGAGTAAGTCCATGACTACGTTTTCAAATGAGGCACAAATTACACATCATCCGTCTGAATCAACGTCTTTGCAATTGTGACAGCCGATTTATTTACTGTTCCGCCCTTAAAAAATCTCCTGTAGTCAATAAGACATTAGTTATGCTTCACATTTTCCCCTCGCTGTGTGCTCGCTGCACACTAAAGAACTACTGTTTCATGTTAACTTAATCCTCCCCTGACAGCAGAGAAATGAAGAGGTGCACAGTATTTCCCAAAATGCTGAAGTATTTATACGGGATACAATGGAAATACTACTTCTAGTGCCACACTTTTAACCATTGGTATTTAAAGAGTCTGCGTCTTTGAATTTGTGAATGTGTCTTTGCCGTTTCTACATTCAGGAGAAAGTTCAGAGAAAAAGTTTGGCCATTGGTAGCCTGAGCCAGCTGGTGTCCCCGCAGTCTCCTGCCATGCTGCTGGTTGTGCAGGAGAACCGAAACCCCGATGGCCAGTACGGCTTCTCGTGTTGCTACAGGGAAGGCAGCGGACTACTGGTGGTCAAGGTGGAAAACTGCCAACTCTGTGTTGACGACAGGTGATACATACAGAAGAAACAAAGTCATGTATCCAGCTCGCAGAGGCCACCTAGATACTGAGAGCATTCAGGATGCCTCTCATCCCGCCCATTTCTTTCATCGCTCTACTGTTCTGTGCTTGGTAGCTATGGTAACCCATCAGATATTGGTCCCAAAGCAAGAAAACACCGTTATGTAATACTTGAATCCACAAGAGAGTGAAAAGAAGCAGATTAAATAGCTTCATATAATTAAGTAATTACTGCATTACAAGTGCGTGCTTATAAAACACGGCATTCTCAAACGTACATGTATTCACACACACACACGTGCACGCGCACACCCGCACAGTGCAGTGTAGTTGACATTCCTCTTTGAGACGATCCTGCCAAAAGAAATCCGCCTGACAGCTGAAAAAAGTCTTTGAGCTGTAATGCGACTGTTCCCTCATTGTAGCCTAGTGCGCCAATACTCTTTAGACAGCTAATCAACAGATACAAGGTGCTTTACACCTTCTGACTATACACAAAAACAAACAAAGAGACATTTTTACTGAGTCTTCAATATTTAACGCACTGTGACTCGAGAATCATTTGATGTTGTTTAGGATAACACTGTAATTATTTGGTATATTGAAGAGGTTGAGGGAGAATTCCCTTTCAGTACCAACTTCATTTTGTGAAAGAATAGCACATGAGGCTAGACTTTCTTTATTTTTATGATCACTCATTTTTACATTGTTTGCTTGACTCATGTCTCGTTTGCGTGTGTGTGTGTGTGTGTGTGTGTGTGTGTGTGTGTGTGTGTGTGTGTGTGTGTGTGTGTGTAATTGAACCTGTAGGCTGGTGGAGGTGAATGGTGTGCCGGTGGTTAACTCTACACAGGAAGAGCTGACCACCATCTTACTGGAGGGACCCAGCGCCAATATTGTTGTCCTTCGCCAGCCCCCGCTCCCCCCCACCTCCGTAGTCCTGCAGCGCATCATCACCTCTGATCCCGAGCAACAGCTCTCTCTTGCCGACTTAGACCGGGGTGTGGTTCCAGTTGAAACAACTCCTCGACGGAAGGTGGTGGCCATCTGATGATACGACAGAGAGAGAAAAAGACCAGCGCAGAGACTTGAGGGTTAATGATATCTGACTGTGGAGCCATGCAGCGAAATGCCCTCTTTTGTTAGTTATTTAACTCTAAATATAAATATATGTTATTGAAAATGTCAATGTGTTGAAATGATAGACGTTTAGTTAGGAACATCCAATAGTAATATAGCTGTGTTGTTATGTGACGTTTTCCTCGACTAAGCCTCAACACATGTACACAGCGTTGTGCTTGGCAGATAGAACAGTTATATTTGATCCATATTGTTGCAATGTATACGGAGAACCATGCCTGTGAAAAAAACTTATTTCCAGAAAAACACATGAAACCGAACCACATTGACTTCTTTCTATTTGCATCTCCTCTTGTGCTACATCATATTTTGTGCCATGAGGGAAAATGAATAGTACAGGAAAGACAAGGAGGCAGAGCCTGATAAGGACAATGCATGCTTCATCTTGTACAACTATAATTGAAAATATGTGAATCCTGTCTATAGTTACTGTAACATATCGTGTAAAGATACATCCAATAGCTTTGTATCCTGTTTCTCTTATTAGAATAGAGACTTGTACGGCTACAACAGTATTCGGAGCAAAAACATGAGTCACGTCCCTTTTTTTGGATGTTGTAATGTAATCCACTGTGCTGCAGGAATAAACCCTTGGGCCCGGAAATGCCTCATTTCTCAGCCTTGTTCTCCCTCGTTAAGTGGCAGTGGATCATAGTCTGACAGAGAGAAAGCACAAACACCACCAAACCCCTGACCCAGACCCCGGGGGTCCAAAGAGCCTGAGAGGAGAAGTGACAAGGCCAAGGTCGCCTGTTGATGACAAAGGTCACAGGTCAGAAAACAGAACATTTGAGCATGAATGCTTTTGCCATCAATGGAGAGTGAGCTGCATCTTATTCTGATGAAGAGAGGGATGGTACTTTCTGGTTGCCAAACCGACCCACTGAGAGGAAAGAGTATGGCGCTGACGAGCCGGAGATTTGAGACACTTAGTCGCAGACGCACCAAACGGAAGTTAACCATGGCACAACATATTCTTCTTATTATATTATTTTACCACAGGCACGGAAAAATCGACTGCCCATTGTCAAAACATCCACGCAGCCGGGACTGAGGTCAACCGGTTCTGGTATACCCTTCAGCACAGAGAGACAAGGAGAAAAATTCACAGCTCGGTAAAGCAAAGCCACACAAGAGACAGAGCGCAGAGGAGAGAATGTGTCATGGCTGCCGTTTTGGAAATAAACGAACACTGGAGAAAATGAGACAAAATCCTATAAACACTGCTTCTGGCGAGAGTAGAAAGACACCGTGGTGTTTTCTGTGACCCAACACCTCCCAAAACATACTCCCAGGCTTTGATGCTCCAGCTTTAGAGCCACTGCCAGTTGTCAATCTGCGATGCAGGAAATCCACGGTGGACGAATAAGTGAAGTGACACAATGAAACCTTCAAAGCGCTATTAAAGATGCCGTCGAGTCGAGATGGCGACTCGCTGGACTCAACGCTGCTGCATGCTCGTCAGGGACATCCGCTGCAAGTCTTTTTGCAAGACTTGTGCAGTGGCCTCCTGCTGTATTACCTATAGGCGCCTCAGGTTGACCCAGGCTGTACCTGACACGCAGTGGGACCGAGCATCCTCCACTGCATCTGGTTTGCCTTAGCAGCCCCGGTAAAGCTTCATCCAGCATACACTGATAAGCTGTGAGGCCGGCCCGGTGTGGCTGGATTTCTCTCTTTTCGCCCAGCGAGCCCCTCAGCTTCTCACTCCTCAGTCCCCCTTCCCCTCCCACCTCCTTTAACTCTCTAACCACCCCATGACATTTAAGGGTGCCTGGCATGTGTTTGAAGTGGGAGAGGAGGCATTAGCTCTGGTTTCCTGCCCAAATCCCACACAAGCCAATAAAATGCATGCAGGTCTGCAGCAAACCAGGAGAATTCCTGTCGCCTCACCGTTAAACAAACAACACTAGCATCAGCCTTATGGTACACTGTACAGGGGATTGCTGCTTAATGCAGACAATAATGTGTCTTCCTGTTTTTACCATGATCAAGTTTGTGACTCTCCTTGCTCCATGAGACTTTGATTACAGTTGATGAAGCAGTCAGTGAGATGTTAATTAGAAGATGCACATTATTAATATGGAAATCATTTTAATGTTTTATGTAACTTTGTGCAGGAAACCCTCAGCCCTCTGTAAAACATCAACTTCTCAACACAGTTAATACAGTCTTACACCTTCTAGCCTCTTATATTTCAGTAATCACTCAGCAGCAGCGAGTGCCAGGAAGGTCAGAGGCAAATCCCAGGAGCTTCTGATTTCATTTTGCTGAGGTGGAAATGGGACTTCTGCCTTTTCCTCTGGCAAATCTCACACTAAGTAGACGCAATCGGTACTTGAGAAACTCCCCGGAGATATTTACCCTCTCCTGGTCAACACTGCTGTGTTATTTGACCTTTGTACCTGGTCTAATCTCTGCTTTTACTGCCAGTCCACTCAAGCTGGGGATGTACTGCCACCTAGAGGCCGTCTCACAAACATCACGCCATTGTCCTGAATCAGCGTACGGATGAGAATGCCTGATAACCAAGTGATTCTAATTAGATCCTTATATTCATACAGAGCAGGAGATGTAGGACTAATATCTAACTGTAATCAGTGGCGTAATCCCGTGGCAGAATTCTGATTAATGTGCCAAAGACATTAAGATGTCCAAAAACGGTACCTGAGTTTTTCCTAAAAAGGACTTGCATTACTTTTAAACACTAATAATTTTAGTTTGTCACATTGGGAAAAGTAAAACAATTTATTCTGTACTTCAGGTACAAAAGGAATCCAATTGCCCTTGTTTACTAGATGTATGTGTATCTAACGTTCAAACAGTTGAACAAAATACATACATATATAATATTTATATATTTAATTGTAATTTGTCTTATGGTCATCATTTAGAAACTGTAGTTTAGACATAAATGTGGTGGAATTCTCCCCCAACAGTAACCTATTAAATATTTAAGAGGAACCCCGTGCTATTGAACAATGCATCAAACCGTCCATGAAATCTAACATGCTCTCTGTTGGAAAACGATTTTATTGTATGTGACATGTTTTATAATAGTTAGACTGATGAACAATAATTCCCTTTTTTGTTGCATTAGTTATTAATATATTACATACATGTTCCCCTAACTCTGTAAAAGTGAAGGTTGATATGTAAATGTCAGCAGGTTATTCACATCACAGTCAGATCTAAATTAAAGTATGGAGAATGTGCGTGATTGATGAATACACTTGGAGGTTAACGTGGGTTTAACTACGCCAAATGAATGTGTGTAGGCTGGAGCTGAGGTGAGGCTACTTTTCAATAGCGGCTGAGAGACATTGTAACACTCTCCAAGCTGCTCAATTATAGGGCTAATGAAAAGGCCATTAGGATTAAGTCCAAGGTGCACTTTGGATGAGATAAATATGTTGTGGAAATTGCCTGGTTTTGTCTTGCCAGCAGGCAGCGATTGAGAAAGGTCAGAATAAGGTATTAGTCATTTTGCAATCAGCTTTTGTGAAATATAGAGAGCGTAATGACCCGTGTCCCTGTCCAATAAAATATTTAATCAAAGCCGGATGAAAATGGTGATTATAAAAATCATTGTGGAACACAATGGGTGAAGAATGGCTGGAGTATTTGATTTGGTTGGTAGAAGCTAAGCGTAGACTACAAAGGAAGAAATATTCATTAGAAGAGGAAGAAATCAAATGAAAAAGTGGATCATACATCAAAAGATTCTTAAGCCTCTGATGATTGTGGTTTTCTCTTTTATATTTTGTAGCTGGTGTTGTGTTATTTGTATAGTAAAAAGGAAAAACTTCCCACACTCTGAACAACAAGTACTTCATTTATAAACCTCTGACTCTGGGAACTATTTTGACATTACTGCTGCGCTGTGAGGAGTAGGCTTGTTTATGAAGGAGGCGGAGAGGCAGCAAAATAAAAAGTCCTCAAAGGGAAACAACTAAAAAAATCATATTGTCTGTGGGAGTGAATTCTGTAATCAGCATTTTTCAGACTTGAGTTGTTATATTTTGACCTAGAGCAAGCACAAAAAGAGTACGGCTATTCCAGTTGATGAATTGGACAAATTATTTAGTACAATAAAAATCTTTAGAAATCCTCTCCAACTCCACATCTCTTGCCCATAAACCGATTACACTCTAGATGGCAGTAAAAGTCTCAGTATTCCAACGCTCCCAAACCCTCTCAGAGAAACCCAACACTTGCAGAAAAGGATCCTTCTCAAGCAACGTTTGAAAGACTGCCAGGCAAATCCTCAGCTCGGGCTGATTATTTGCTCCTCGATGGTTTGGAAAGTAGGCCGAAGCACCACTAATTCTGATTTGCAATAAAGGTTTGATACAAATAACAGACAAGACAAACACAAGAACATGCAGATGCAGGATATTCCATTTTACTGCCATGTTTTTGGTTTTGAGAAAGGATGACTGTGCCACATGCAGAATAAATGCTAATAAATGCTCTACATTGTCTTGCCCAACTAATCTTACTTTTTCATACAGTATAACTGAGCAGCTATTTTATTAAAAACTGTCAGCCATCTGATTCAAGAACATATTCAGTGGGAAACATATGAGACAAAGACTGATGTGGGTCCTACTAACAGAATTAGAGGTTCAGTTGTCACTGAAGAACCGTATAGAGGAATACTTGTTTCACCCAACGTATGAAATGACAAATAAAAAACACGATTTGCTGCATTGACATGACAATGTGACACTTTGGATTCTATTATCTTGTTTAAAATGGACAACCTAACCCATTTTACGCTCAATGTGACACCTCCGTTTTGTGTGGCTTTATATTTCGACACACACAAATTAATGAAACAAATAATATGTAGAGGCAGATCACATGTCAGCGTAAGCATACCTACATACACAACGTGCAGACCTACAATACACTGAGACAGAAATACACACACACAAATAAAAGGGTTTATGGGGAGCGGTTGATGGAGAGCGAACGGGCCAGAAGAGATGGAAGAAGCACACCAGGGGGAATGATGAGAGGAAATGATGCGCATGATGAGTGCTGAATGCTTGGCCAGTGGGACAGACCTTGTCAGACTGTCTGCTAAAAGGGGTGGAAGACGGAGAGAGAGATGACAAGAAAGGGAGATAAAGCTTGAGAGAGCAGGAGAAAGACGATGATCAATGTCAAAATACTATTACCCTGTGACAACTAAGGTTTCCCTCGTCTTGTTCTCCATGACCACTGCACCTGTCTGCGATTGTGCTGCATCTCTGCGACTCAGCTAGCCGACGGATGAATGATTGCTATCTTCACAGAATGGAAAAGCCGGCGAGAAGTATGTTTTATTCAGCTCTTATTACATAAATTCTGGGTTGCAGTTCCAATTCCTGCTCTGCATGGGTATTTTCGGTATCCCAGAACCGTCTAGGGCTCCCGGTGCTGTATCGAGCATCGTTGCTCCTCTTGTCTTCAAGCTTTTCATCTGCAGAGCGGGCCCTCACACAGAAACAATGATGACCCAGTTCTGAGTTTGTCTCTGTCTTACAGCCAGTTCTCTTCCGTCCTAATCACAGTCTCTCAGCTCTGAGAGCTGCCGCGCTACAAAGACGGGAGAAAGAC